ACCCCAGAGATTTATAGCTATATCTGCCCTGTATGGTTTCAGTATCCCTTTCTGTCCTTCCGGTCAAATGCAGACCACCGAGTTAATACTTTGTCGAACTCTAGATAGAGTTCCAATTCTTAAAAATTGTACATTTACCTCTCTAAGAGGCCATTTCTGAAGCCAAGACATTTGGGTAATAATAGTTACACCCGCCCAGTGTCCACTAAGCCAGAAATAACTTTATTATTAATTTTCACTTTTAACTGAGGCCTTTTATCACTAATAGAAGCTTGCCAAAATATGTGTTTCTCATTTTGTACATTCACATTTGATTCTTCATCACTATTCAAACTACCATTTAGAGCAGTATCATTTTTCACAATAGGCAAATAACTATCTATTCATCCTGTGAGAGATTGTCTCCCACTGCTACTGGGAATGACTGGACCTTTCTCGAAGTGGGGGACTTCTTGAGGCTCTCCTCAGGGTTTCCTGGCCTTAACGGTTTTCCTTGCTTGTCCCTGGTCGATCTACATTCATTGGTCCAGTGTCTGCCCTTACCACATCTTCTACACAATCCAGAAGGCAGTGGCCTTCCGTATGAGGCATTGTTAGAATTCATTTGTCTACAATTTCTCTTAGTATGTCCCATTTTAAAACAGTTGAAACATCTAGGTTTCTAAACATCTAGGTTCCTGGCACATTCGTGGTCTCCAGCAAAGTCTCTTTCTACCCAAGGTTCTGGTTCATAGCAGTAGTAACTTCCAGCCTCTTGGTACCTATATTCACCTATGTAATGTGCTTCTCCTTCCCAAGCCCTTGCATCCTCACCTCTAGAACTTTAATCTCCTGTTGCCTTTTTAAACCTTTCAAAATGGCTTCTCCTACCCAAGTTCCAGTGTTAGCAGCATGCAAAACCCATTCTTCTAGCAGAGCTGATCTGATCTTTAAAGGCAAAAGTATTCTTTTGCATATAGGGTTTGCATTTTCATAAGCTATTGTATATATAATTGATTGTCTTGTTT